TAATCATGGGTTCATTGCAAATTTGACAACGATTGCAATTCTCACCATTTGTTCCAGAGTGAGTTGGAAACTGGCGATCCTGGTGGACAGAAGCCAAAGTTGGCAGTACTTGGTGTCCCTGGTCCTTTCTGTCACACAGGAAGTATCTGAGGATGGACATATACTTCCAATACAACTTCGTCTCTGGGTCTCCAACACCATCTCTTCAACTTGGACCAGGTATTTGCTGGTTACAGAACATATTGTCTGAAGCTCCTTCTGAAGTGGAATGAATGGAAGAGTTTCCAGGTTACGTTTCTCACTGATGTATGTCTTATAGATATAAATAATGTCCATGTGATTCTGACGGATTTGATGGCCTAACCAAGCACTTTTTAAATAAAAATAGTTCATTCATTTACCCACACACCTATCAATCCATCTATCCTTGAATCCGTTAACATATTTTGTGGGTTCTTAACATTGGCTGTAATGACATTTCAGTAAGATATTGTCGTTTCATTCATGCATTCGTTCATCCATTCACTCATCCATTTACAAGCCATATCATTTTTTCTTTTTTTAACCTGAACATATTGTTTTCTTCTTTCTTTTTTTGTGGATGGGTGTGTTGTGTGTGTTGTTGTTGGTGGTGGTTGGTGTGTGGGGAGAGTTTTGTCTTTACAATTAGTGTAATGACTTCAAGATCACGAGACTATTGAATATTCACTTACCAAATCTTCTGCTGGGGTTTCAGAATTTGATGAAAGTGAAGAGAGATCAGAGAAAGATTTGGCAGCCACGTTGATGTCATGGCAGCACGTGTTGGTCGGGTGGTAAGTCTCACAGAATGCTGTGCACTGTAATAAATACATACTATTACACGTTATACTTACTAGATACGTTGCACTGTAGTTCAGGGTAGTTCTGGCGAAATTCAATTTAAATACAGTTCAAAGTGTTGTTAAACTCAACTCTCTCACTACAACTCAAGACATATGTGATCCCGTACAACTATGGCGTACGACTCAAAAACAGGAATACAAAACTACGGGTGGGATATCTCATCTGGACAAAATGTAGTTTCTAATAGTTTATCGACAAAGTAGCCAACTGGTTCCTCAGTTGAATGGAAAATCCGTAATAAATCCATACATTATACACACCAGTATCCTGAAACTGTTGTTTGTTGTATAATCTACATCTTCAAGGATCATAATCGCGGCGTTCATTCTTGTCAGTACCAAACCACCATCTGATTGGCTGTTCACTGTCGTGACGTCACCAGGCGTCTGTGTCGACAGTGTTCTAGCTGAGATGACATCTGTGCCAATACTGATGAGGAGAAGTGACGCTACACAGAGGAAATCTGGAATATTGAAGGAAAATATTTAATGTACATCTTGGGTTACCGGTAGGCGAGTAGTCTCAAGCGCTACGTATCACTGCGATGGTGTGCTGATGAAAAATACAAACTCACAAGGAGATTCCATCCTTGAAAGTTATTTCGTGAAGCTTTGTAAAGTACACGTTGTTGGAGTGTTAACTTTAAGTCGTACTGGAACAGTTACAAGTGAATCCAAGTGAACTGTGACAGTTACAAGTAAACTAATGATGAGTCCTATTCAATGTATGTCTTTTATAGTCCAAATATGAAAAAACCCTACACACCTGTATTTAGTTATGAGGCCGAAAGCTTCTGGCTGGGCATTCCCTGTCAGAAACAAGTGATGGCTGTGGTCCGGTATAGCGGTGGATGTCCTGGACTGCAATCTATTTCTGTAGTCCTGTGATTGACAGAGTATCAATGATGGGAGAGGCCGCTGGATATTGATAAAGCTTAATGTGGGCAGTATAATATTAGATGGTGGAGGTATTGTTATTTTCACAGGTTTGCTTTTGGAAAAGTGAATTGTTCGAAAGATTTGTGCATTATAATTTAGCAAATTTGTAAATGACCTCATCGAATTCTAAATAATTATAATATATTCACGGAAAATCCTTTTACCACAATGTCTGTTTACAGCTCTAGTAGGAGCAGCAGTTATCACCCAAATGACAGACGCCAATTTGACAGACAGTCAATTGACAGACACTAAACTAGAAGGTAAATTAGGGTAACACCTACGGGTATAATGGAACGGTCCACTGTCCAGTGAGTAGAGTGGGGTAAACCTGAAACAGGTTCATTACTGAGAAGTTTGATTGTGTGTAAATAGAACTTTGTTGTGATTAAATGATAAAATGTACATGGTTGGCTAAAATTATTGGAGTTTCTTAACTCATAACCTGTCCCGTTACCTATTACTGGTGGGAGTAAACCCTGAAGAAAAACTGGTGTTGTCCTGTTTAGTAGGAACTTTCTGCTGGCGATTAGGTGCCTAACTCTGAGGGTGTGGGTTCGAATCCCGGATGGGACTCAACCCAACAAAAGTACTAGAATCTGTATTTTTCTAAGAAAGTGTAATCCTAAATATAACATATGTTTCTACAAGAAAGTTAAAGCGAAATGTTTATGAAAATAAACTCTTCATTTTTATTTTTTTCAGCATTTAAAATTCAAATTAATGTCTTTTCGGCCATGTAACTAAATAATATAGCTTCAGTTTTCTTCTTCCTTTTCTATTTGGATAATTCCATTATAATGTGTAGGTAATGTGTAGTAGCTAATCTGTTCATTGAACCGAAATGTTGTTGTTTTAAGGCGTCTGCGATCTGCCTGTGTGCCTAATGGTAGGAAACCAGAGCACCTGATCAATGTGTACTTGCTCAAATTTGTAGATGGATGGATCAAATGTTTCAAACAAATTGTGTAACGTTTTTTAGATCTTGGTCTCGATAAAATTCAAAGCACTGGAAACGCTTACAGCAAAACTGTTTTTAAGCAGAAATTGATGCCTTATCAACAAATAACTTTACTTCTACTATTTTACTGTTGGGTGAATGTATTGTTGACGCTGATCTCTAAATGTATTCACATGTTTTCACAATTCGTTAATTCCTTCGTTCGTGTACTGAGCGGTTCTTCGTTCATATGATATGTCGGATATATTTCCTCTGTGTTATTATATTGATTAAAGTACCCGGCCATTTGATATGGGGTGACAGAAATATTTCGTCCATAAAAACGGGATAAAATGGTTTTACGCTGTGCTGTGCTGTGCTGTGCTGTGCTGTGCTGTGCTGTGCTGTGCTGTGCTGTGCTGTGATGTGCTATGCTTGCTGGACTGTACTTGCCGGTAAGATTCGTTCAAGCATCTGTGTTTAAGTCGACAGAGACAAAAAATAGTTTAACAATATGTTAAAACATCATTCAATTGGTAATGGTTTTTACATGCATTTGGGAACACTTCCGATTTAGGCCTACTATCATTAATCTCATCGAAGATGAAAATATAATACAAGATCCATGTATACATGTGTAACTGGGCTCTGTTTAGCAAAGTGATCAATCATTCAAGATGCATACTTCCATATTGACCTGGCCTGTGTCGGGGGAAAACCGGGATTCGAAACCTGGACAGCGAATTGAGTGGCCTGAAACACAACTTGGCCACTGTGACACCTCGACGCAATAACGTATTGTGGGTTGTTTTGCTTGTACTTTGCCAAACAATCTCGCTCTTTATTTGGTTAATCAGTTGTAAAAACAACTGAAAAACTGTTTATGAATAATGAATTTGCATATGACTAGGTTGTGAAATAGATAAAAGCCGATATTTCGGAGTTATATATAATATTAAAGCTTAAACACATATTCTTCATATTGTTTGTGACATCAACAGTAATGTTAACTAATAAGCGGCATGCAAACTAGAGCTTCAACGATTCCATTTTCTTGGACTCGAGTACTCGAGGGGTGGGACTCGACTCGGACCCGAGTACTCGAAATTCATACCTTTCAAGCAAACGATAACGTAACCGGCATGACATGTGTTCCGGTCACACAAGTGAACACTTAGTTCATTCCGACTTCATATCGTTGTGTGACTAACATTTCCTATTGGTCAGAATCAGTATTTGGATGTTTACTTTTTTCATCGTACTGGTTGTACTGCCTGCGTAACGCATTGATATACCGCACAGGCGGCATTTGGTTATTTTTCTCTTTTCACTATCCAGATCAAGACGAGCCCATACATTAGATTTTTTATCGTTCTCCATGTCTGTTAAGATATTTACCTAATCATTTTAAGAAGTGAAACCTCAAACGATGTATAATAATTACTCTCATCTGCAGACTTGTAACAACTAATACCATACAGCCACACCTTATGAGGAGTATTACTAAATCTAGGCGTTAATAAAAACATTATCAGATGGGTTAAAGAATTCAGGGTACATAGAACTCAGTATGTCAGTGTCAACCTCTACTGGAGCTCCACAGGACTCTGTTCTTTCATCTGTACTCTTCGTTTTGTATACCAATGACTGTTACTTGTCATTAAATGACTTGTTTACTGTGAAATTCGCAGATGACGCCACTGTTACTGGCCTAATTTCTGATTCTGAACCTTATTATCGTCAAGGAATTGAAAAAAACGTAATGAAAGTTTTTAACAAACCTTTATTCCAAAGTATGTTGACCTACAATTTTCTATGTTGGTATGGGGCCTGTCTGATCTCAACAAAAACAAACTTTTCAAAATTGTTAATACTGCCGGCAAAATTTCGAGTATATTCCCTTTATCTATGAGCGCCAGATTGTCAAAAAGGCAACTAAAATTAGATTTGATAGTTAACATATTTTATCTTACCATTTTGAAGTACTTCTTTGTGGACGCTGCTGTCGATTACCTTCCCTCAAAACAAACAGAGCTCGATAGTCTTTCATACCATCAAGTATTCGTGAATGCAACAAATATTTTGAATTATCACCATGTGATAACAACAAGAATTATTCAGCCTCTTTACCTATGTGGTTAATTGAATTATATCATGTCAGTTTTATTGTGTAAATAGCTTTCGTTTTGTGCATGTAATTATTGTGTATATTTTTGTGAATTGTGTACATATTCATTTTGAGACAGTTTGGATGTATAAGAATTTCCCCCGGGATACTAAAGTTATATCTTATCTTAATATTAGACGTTAACGGCCGCTCATGCTCAGTACATGGCAGGCAGTCTGTCAACGTAACCCAATACTTCGAGTTATCTCCCCTTTTCGAGTCCTCGAGTCCTAGAAAATGGACTCGAGTCCAGCAAAACCCGACTCGTCCTCGAGTACTCGGGTATCCGTGGAAGCCCTAATAAAAACATGTTCACTAATTCAATTAACAATTACCTGCGACAATTGTAGTGAATATATTCTTTGCCAAACATTCCCTTGGTGCAAAATGTGTAAAGAAATACGGTTCAGAGAAAGTTTTCGTTTTAATTTATCCACCGTTTTTCGTCTGAAAGGAAAACTGGCTATTTAAATTCCACATAGCAGATATAAACAAGGAAACTGTCTTCAAGCCTCTCTTCATTTGACAGTTCAGTTGATAACATGAAAAAGGCGCTAGACAAAAATGAATATAAAGGGTACCGATAGTTTGGATGTTAAGGTGTTCGTCAAGTTCCACCGAATACCAGGGTTCTGTTCCCTTTCTGGCTGCATGATTCCAAGCATTTCTTAAGTATCTTTTCTATTGAGATGCTGCAATTCCCTGTGCTTTGAGTGAGCCACACTGGATAACAATTAGGTATATGTTGTTATCATCAGTACATGTGTGTTTATAAAACGGTGTCTTTATAACTGAGTTGAGTTTTGCGCCGCTTTTACCAATGTTCCAGCAATATCACAACTAGGGACACCACAAATGGGCTTCACACACCCATGTGGGGAATCGAAACTGGGTCTTCAGTGTGACGAGCAAACGCTTTACCACTAGGCTACCCCACCGCCCCGATCCCAATGCTATCAACTCCAGTAACAGATGGGTTTCATTCAATGTGCAAATTACCAGGCTGTCGAGGTAAATGGTACCACAACTTTGTCAACAGAACCAATTTAAAGAGGAATTAACAGGCTTCAGTGATCTGAGTCATCACCATGGTCCGGCTGCTTCGATGATTGCTCATACAATCAACCCCCGGTTTGAAGGCGTCACATCTGATATGTTGCTCAATTTTGCAATCCACTGTCAGAAGAGATCTATATAATTCAAAGCAATAGTTCTCTTTCACATACATCTGATGCACGTGTAGCCCAGAACTTGCAGGGATAGAGGTAATCATTTATCAAAAAATCGACTCATACCATCAACACACTCAAGTTAAGCGGATATCGAATATTTATGTTTTATAAAAGGAACGTTACCAAGTAATATGCTGTAGTAAAAGAGCGTCCTTCATATTTATACAAAGATTCATTGCTTTGTCACACAAACCGACACGTTTATCTTCGCATAATATAATTAGGGAAACAAATAACAGAACACATGAAAGCACAAGTGTCCCTTTTTTCATTTCCAAGTTTCTTCACAAGCCTTGTATTGCACTGTAGGTGAAAACTTATGAATAAAGAAAGGAACATTACTTTGAACCCGTGTTCCCTTATTTGTTTCCCTCAGTATATATGAAAAAACATTTGATGTTATATGTGGGATACAGCATCAGACAATTGAAAGCATCAATATGTGATGATGGTTGGAACTGATCCGATATATCTGATGGCGAATGCGACGACTGGTTCGTTCCTTCCAATATCATGCCAATGTGCTTAAAATGCAATTGAATCATGAAACCTAAAACCATTTTGCAATTAAGAACAGTAAAGGTCGATAAGGTATATGATCCTTTTAGACCTCTATTAATCATGGATAAAAGGCCTCCCTTGTATAAAAGTACAAAGTTTCTTTTTGGAAAAACAATCTTCTTATGCCTATGCGTACCACATGAGCCTTACAATATGCTCCGGAGAGAAACATCGACTAATTGGTGAGTGAGTAAGTGTGTTTTTAGTTTTATGCCTATGACAGGTTTTAAGTAGATATTGGAAAGTGTCCTTCTTGAGGGGTCACCAAGGAAATAAGAGATCAAACGTAGCATTTTCAAAATTCACTATAGCAGTTCACTTCTCTCTGGAAAGATTCATTTCACCGATTGGCTGTTACTTGTCATATTTTGCACGAACATTGGCTAAACCAATAGTTGCGGTGATGCAAGAATGATATCAGCTTTGTAAGTTATACTGAATACTGTATTCCAGTAAATAATATTACAGATGGAAAGACATTTAAAGCAGTTTTAATTTATTTTATTGTTTAAAAACTACAGACATGGTCTTTGAGACCGGGCGAATGTTATCTCAAATCTAGTTGAGACGCATACATTACACAGACACACAGTGAACTTAAGATATAGTTACAAGATGTCACATTAGATGTTTAATAAATTGATAACAGACAAATCAGATGAATCGATCATGTGAGGAAAGTGAATAACATTGTTGCGGTACATGTTATTATGACAAAACAATTATATATACAGGAATAAATCTACATGAATCATATAAGAGGAGTTATGCTACACACCCATAAATTATAAAAAAGATAAAACCTAGTGTCAGTAAATGATGTCGATATATAACACCCCGAAATATCGCCTCCTGATATTCCACAAACATTGGATATATGGATGTTCAAACAAACCAAACCTAGTGTCAGCGAATGATATCAATAAATAACAATGAAGCATGAGAACAGAGATCTACACCACACAATATCGCCTCCTGATATTCCACAAACATTGGATATATGGATGTTCAAACAAACCAAACCTAGTGTCAGCGAATGATCTCAATAAATAACAATGAAGCATGAGAACAGAGACCTACACCCCACAATATCGCCTCCTGATATTTCCCAAAACATTGGATATATGGATGTTCAAACAAACCAAACCTAGTGTCAGCGAATGATATCAATAAATAACAATGAAGCATGAGAACAGAGATCTACACCTCACTGTATTGCTTTTTGATATTACCCAAACATTGGATATATGGATGCTCAAACAGACCAACTCTTCCTTTAGTGAGTCATATCAATAAATAAGAATCAATTCCAAGCATTAAAAGGGAGACCTCACTCCCATAACATCACTGCATGAGAAACAAAGTCTGAAGATTCTTCTCAAGATGTCCAGTATGTGGATCTATGTATCATGTGCACATATGACAAATGAAGATATGAATTCAAGTAGATAATGATTAAAGTCACGCTGACAATTTTGAAGGGCATTGAATATCATATGTCGAAGACATACAGCGTAATCGTTTTTCCTTGTCAATAAATAGCGGTCAACAAATAAAGATAGAACATAAGAACTGAGATCTGCACCCCATCAAGCATCTTCATTCATGGTAAATTAATGTCCAAGGATTCTTCTCAAGATGCTCAACATCCGGATCCATGTATCGTGTGCGTTGGACAGAATGTGCAGATCCCTTTGATCTCGTAGAGTTGGGTTTGTGATGACGTCATGAGATTCAGAGGAAGTAGCGATTGGCACTGGCAAACCGTTGGCCACAATCTGTAACAAGTAAAATAACCGTCATGCTACTGCTACACAAAGAGTTTTTAGAAAGTGAACTTCTCCAAACCGCAATACAATTGGTCAGTCATGAAAACAACTTCAAAGCCCTCTGTTTTGGGTCACGCTAAATTAACCTTACTCCACTAAAACGTTTGAACCATGGCACCAACCATTATACTGGAGACAATTCTCAATATTGGAAACTTCATGCCCTTGCTTTATTATGTGAATATTATATCATAACAACTTTAATAGACCACTGATTGTTTCAGCGAACATTCTAAATTTCGTCAAACTGCCAATCACTTTCTGTTATGAGATGTGTTTTAAACATAATCATGGCTTCATTGCATATTTGACAACTACTGCAATTCTCACCATTTGTTTCAGAGTGAGTTGGAAACTGGCGATCCTGGTGGACAGAAGCCAAAGTTGGCAGTACTTGGTGTCCCTGGTCCTTTCTGCCACACAGCAAGTATCTGAGGATGGACATATACTTCCAATACAACTTCGTCTCTGGGTCTCCACCACCATCTGTTCAACTTGGACCAGGTATTTGCTGGTTACAGAACATATTGTCTGAAGCTCCTTCTGAAGTGGAATGAATGGAAGAGTTTCCAGGTTACGTTTCTCACTGATGTATGTCTTATAGATATAAATAATGTACATGTGATTCTGGCGGATTTGATGGCCTAACCAAGCTCTTTTTAAATAATAATAGTTCATTCATTTACCCACACATCTATCAATCCATGTATCCTTTGATCCGTTAACATATTTTGTGGTTTCTTAACATTGGCTGTAATGACATTTAAGTAAGATATTGTCGTTTCAATCATGCATTCGTTCATCCATTCATTCATCCATTTAGAAGCCATATCATTTTGGCTTTTTTTAAACTGAACTTATTGTTTTCTTCTTTCTTTTTTTGTGGGTGGGTGTGTTGTTGTTGGTGGTGGTGGTGGTGGTGTGTGTGTGTGTGTGTGTGTGTGTGTGTGTGTGTGTGTGTGTGTGTGTGTGTGTGTGTGTGTGTGTGTGTGTGTGTGTGTGTGTGTGTGTGAGTGAGGGGGGGGGTCTTTTCAATTAGTGTAATGACTTCAAGATCACGACACTATTGAATATTCACTTACCAAATCTTCGGCTGGTGTTTCAGTATTTGATGAAAGTGAGGAGAGATCAGAGAAAGATTTGGCAGCCACGTTGATGTCATGGCAGGACGTGTTGGTCGGGTGGTAAGTCTCACAGAATGCTGTGCACTGTAATAAATAGAAACGGGTGCACATTGTACTTGCTAATATATGCGTTGCACTGTAGTTCAGGCTAGGTCTGGCGAAATTAAATTTAAATACAGTTCAAAGTGTTGTTAAACTCAGCTCTCTCACTACAACTCAAGACATATGTGATCCCGTACAACTATGGTGTACGACTCAAAAACAGGAATACAAAACTACGGGTGCGATATCTGACCTGGACAAAATGTAGTTTCTAATAGCTTATCGACAGAATAGCCAAGTAATTCCAGTTGAATGCAGAATCCGTAATCAATCCATACATTATACATACCAGTATCCTGAAACTGTTGTTTGTTGTATAATCTACATCTTTCAGGATCATAATGGCGGCGTTCATTCTTGTCAGTACCAAACCACCATCTGATTGGCTGTTCACTGTCGTGACGTCGTGAGGCGTCTGTGTCGACAGTGTTCTAGCTGAGATGACATCTGTGCCAATGCTGATGAGGAGAAGTGACGCTACACAGAGGAAATCTGGAATATTGAAGGAAAATATTTAATGTACATCTTGGGTGACGGGTAGGCCATTAGTCTCAAGCGCTACGTATCACTGCGATGGTGTGGTGATGAAACATTCAAACTCACAAGAAGATTCCATCCTTGAAAGTTATTCGTGAAGCTTTGTAAAGGACACGTTGCTGGAGTGTAATTTTAAGTCGTACTGGAACAGTTACAAGTGAATCCAAGTGAACTGTGACAGTTACAAGTAAACTAATGATGAGTCCTACTCAATGTATGTCTTTTATAGTTAAAATATGAGAAAATCCTACACACCTGTATTTAGTTATGAGACCGAAACCTCTGCCTGGGCATTCCCTGCGGTGGATGTCCTGGACTGGTGTCTATCTCTGTAGTCCTGTGATTGACAGAGTATCAATGATGGGAGAGGCCGCTGGATGTTGATAAAGCTTAGTGTGGGCAGTACAATATCAGATTGTGGAGGTACTATTATTTTCACAGGTTAGCCTTTGGAAAAGCTACTTTTATCTTCCGTATTATAATTTAGCAAGTTTTTATCAACCTCAGAATAATAATGTATTCCCTGCAAACGGCTTTACCACAATGTCCGTTTACAGCTCTAGTAGCAGCACCTGATGAGGGGAAGGAAAGGGTATTTCCTCAAATTTGCAGCTGGATCGATTAAATGTTTCAAACTAATGTATAACGTTTTCTAGATCTTGGTCTCGACAAAATACGAAGTACTGGAAAGGCATACAGAAAAAAGACGTTACAGGTAAATATTATTGATGTTTCATCTACGAATAAATTGTACGATACTTCTACTATTTTATTGTTGGGTGAATGTGTTGTTGACGCTGATCTCTCAATTTATTCATATGTTTTCATCAATTCGTTAATTCGTTCGTTCGTGTATTGTACGGTTTTTCGTTCATAAGTCGGTTATATTTTCTCAGTGTTATCATATTCATTATAGTAGCCGACAGTTTGATGTAGGATGACATCAATATTTCTTTCATGAAAACGGAATAAAACGAGGTTTTACCCTGTACATGTACTAGTACTATGCTATATTTGCTGGACACGCCTAATGTCCAAGATATGTTCGGTGTCTCTGGTCACAGAATTTTGTGTTTAAAATTGATAGATAAAGCTGAAATTATCCCTGATCTGTTAAAGCTCCGAGCACCACCTACCAAGTCCCAAATATATCACTTAATGTACTTTGAATTAGCATTTGCTGCAAAGCTGATAAACATCTCATATCCATAAACATATTACAGACGAGAGCCATTAATGATACAAAAGTCAAACTGACTTCATGAGGAATTTTAGATCCAGTGATCAAATATTAAATGATCAAACATTAAACGATCAAACATATTGCAATCCATGTCTTTTATGTCCCTATGTTGATCATTAGAGGATATTGACATTGGTCATTTCAGGAACAAATTTTCAATTTGTTTTTAAAGCCGCCATACTAGGTAATACTGACTGACTGAGTTTGGTTTTACGCCGCTTTTAGCAATATTCCAGCAACATCACGGCGGGGGACACCAGAAATGGGCTACTAGGTACTATACTGGTTGTTATTTGTGTATCTTGTCTCATGTTTCTTCTTAGGGCGGGGACAAAAACAACCAATAACAAAACAGATTCTGTTTGCATATAGTGTTTCGTGTTTCCTGTCTTGTTTCTTCTTTGGACCTTCACAAAGTTATAAAGAGCGAAGCAAGTGTGAATGCTGTTCAGGTTTCATTTCCAACTTTGTTTCTCTGAATAGTAATACAGTAACAAAACCCAAAAAAGTATGCATTCTTGAAACACATCTCATTAAAGCCACACCGATAATTGTACTCGTATCCACCTGTTCTTAAGTAACGCGGAAATCCGTCGCATAGGCCGATTAGCGTGAAGGTTCAGAGTTCAATATTTAAGGCCTGTCAAGCGGACATATCAGACACAGTGTACGCCAGGGCTGGGTTAAACCCAGCCAAGCTCTGTGTCGCATTTGGACTAATAATATTTATTGTCTCACCTTGTCATAATGATAGTCACAACTGTCAAATCCATTTCTTGTCCTTTCACTTTGCAAAAATACGTTCGGTTCAATTAATATGGAGACGTAATCCATCGTTTCTATTTTGTTACAAAATATCACGTTCGTGTAGAAAATGTAAACGTATGGCCTCAAATAGATGTGGGATTTACATAAGTTCCAGAAATTTAGTTTATGCTTTTGACGCCGTCAGTTTATATTGCATGATAAATATACAGTAACCATAAAAACATTCATTCATTCATTCATTCATTCATTCATTCATTCATTCATTCACTCACTCACTCACTCACTTAATCATTTTATATAATGTATTATACAATTTATGCATTACGTTTACTTTACATTTCTAATACAGTTAATATTCCATCAATGATAGTAGTATGTTAAAGGTCTGTTATTTCAGGCCGATTCGGTGTAGAATGATTCCAGGATTATCTAATGAAATTATCTGATGCTTTTGAAAACAAAAGATCGGATTAGGAACCGGATAGCATCTTTTTCAAGACACCTGAGAAAGACAGGTATTGAAATGTGTAAACACAATGCAGGTGAAGAATTTATCTAAAATGTTCATTTCCATAATTGTATATTTTGACTGTTTTGCTGCACTTTTGATCATTTGATTAAAGCCTTCTGACATATTTCGTCTTTGAAAGTGGAAATCGTGAATTTCGTTTAAATAGTACATGCACCGTGTATATACACACACACCTAGGACCTGCTAAACAAAGTGATCAACGATGCAAGATGCGTATTTAGGCACGGTGACTGTTTAAAAAAACGATCAACGATCAACATGCACACATGCATATTCACCTCGAATTTCGCGCTATGATGGTCGTATGTCCATGTTGACAATGGGTGTGTGTGTGTGTGTGTGTGTGTGTGTGATGATCGTCTTCGCATCAAAGTTAGGCTATACTCTCCACAGTGAGTGAGTGAGTGAGTTCAGTGTTACGCCGCACTTAGCAATATTCCAGGTATATGGCGCTATACTCTCCATACCGAACATCGTATGGCAGAGCATGCCCACATAAAAAATCATGTTTGTATAATTGTTTACTATACGTTGAACGGAAATATTACAATACACCAAACGGCCTAAGTCTCTGTCTTGCATTTCCTCCAGCTCAAGCAAACAAAAAGTGAACAATTATAGGTTCTTTCCACACCGTCCAGAGTCAAACAATCTCTCTGGTTTCTTGTCATTCAGGGAATATCGAAACAAAAAGTATTAGGGCTATTGTAAATGAAAAAGATGTGTTTATGCATTTAAGATCAAAAGCGTTATATTTCATGCTGTGTATAAGATCAACAGGTGATGTGTGAGATTGAAGATTTTATGCATCAGTAAGCTGCGAGTATCATCTGGTCCTCATTAATCGGATCTTGTGACAACAGTGGCGCACCTATTCCTTCGAAGGTACAAGTTTCTGAGAAATGAGGACAACGTAAATTCACGAAAATGTAACTGATCACATTTCCTTTAATCGTTCCATAGATTTTCCCCCGTTCCCCCGACATTACATCCTCTTCGTTTCCGTTTCAGTCCAGATAATTACCCATTCTTGCGAATTAATGTTTCCCTGCAAGTGTCATAATATTGTCAGAGCATCAAGTCATTGCACGATTTTCTAAATAAGAAACATAGTCACTCCGAATTTGGGCCCCTGTTTTCCGCGTGCGTGGGCTTAAGGGGACTGCTTGTTTAAATACGTCATGGTGTAATATGATAACAAGGACCGCCAGATGGAGCACTTGGCTGAAGTGTTGTTGGAACTATCTTCAGATATCTTCAGACTGACAGTATAGTTGATAACATGACTTGTGAACACACACACGACGGATATGGTCTTTGAATACGAAGAGTGGCAATTGAGAAATATGAGGCTATGGGGTTCGGCCGTCTCCTTGAAAACCGTGGTTCTTTTTCCCGGATAATGTAACAGAAAGTACCTTTCCTAAGCTTTACAGACACTGTAGCACGCCAGTAAAAGCTTGACATCAGTTTTAGCGTAAGGATAGCTTTTTTGATCGGCGCACAGGAAACGCATCATTGCCATCCTCATACGTAGCCTACACACCCGAAAATATTGGTGTCGGCTCTAGTTAAGTCGGCTCGTACTGAGCATAGAAGAGATTAAAGATAGTTCCTGGTCTGTAGAGCACATCGACACTTTCCTATCAACAGGACGAATGGGTATTCAATCAATGTCAGGAGCGTAGCAAGCCATTTTTGTTTCGTGTAAGCCCGATAGGTTGCAAAGCTATATATTAGATAGTATTGAGGTCTTGTCCAACCTTTTTAGCAACAATCTTGTGTAAACCCGGGCTTTTTTCTATAATGGTAGCTACGCCCCTGAATGTTCGGCAGATCCTGGCGCAACTAGGGGACGCAGCACGCCGATACCCACACCATAGGCGACTTGACTCTAATATCAAACAGTAACTGGACATATAGTATCAAATGATTCTAAACTCGAAGTACGCGTCGTTAAAAACGAAATATATGACCATTGATAACAAAATTTACTGTAATAATTTGAAATCATTGGGAGATTCTCAATATGGAATCGCCGCACTCAGCAATACTATATGGCGGCGGTCTGTAAATAATCGAGTCTGGACCAGACAATCCAGTGATCAACAATATGGGCATCGACCTGCGCAATTGGGAAGCGATGACATGTGTCAACCAAGCCAGCGAGCAAGACCACCCGATCCGGTTATAGTCGCCTCTTACGACAAGCATGGGACCTTCAAGGGTTTGAATAGTAAGTACGATTAGCACTTCTTTGAAGCTGAGTTGTGAAAGATGAGTAATAACACCACATATTACGACGCCAGAGACCTATAAGTCATCAGGGCCCCTTCACCTGCTAATATAAGTGTCAAATCTACATTGTATCAAAGATAAAACGGGGAGGTGGTTAAAACGTTCGATCGTCACGCCGAAGACCCGGTTCGATTCCCCACATGGGTACAATATGTAAAGCCAATTTCAGGTATCCCCTTCTGTGATTTTGCTGGAATATTGCTAAATAAATAACATAATAAACTCACTCACTCAAAGAAAACACATAACATGCTGAAATGTTGATCACATTTTAATAAATCTTATACAGAAGGCAATTACAAAAGCTAGGTCTGAAACTGTCTATACGTGTGACATATTTGTAAGTATGTACACTTGGGAGGCATTAGAAAGTTTCACAGAACCCCCTGATTCAAACAACGGTTAAAGTTAAGTTCTCTGTACATATAAACAACGCATAAACATAATAGAAAATGATAATCAGGTAACTATTGTCAATACGTCATTGGTCGTGTACACTATGTTCCTCCACCATCTGTGAATACATACAAACTCGGTGTTGTGTAGTAACTATATTTAACCAATGAATCATGTCAAACAAGAGGAATCCCACCGCTTCATCAGACCAATGAGAGCTCAGGTTACATCATACACACGGTATTCCCATGCAACACGTGCCACAGCTTTCGTCTGCTCTGAACATTACTTCAACATCCCGTAACGACAGATCACTAAACATTGTGCGCCGACGGAGGTATTAACGGGTGGTGGACGAACATATTGTACACAAAGCCTGTGAAATATCAAAAATGGTGTTATAGAGCATGAGAATTAAAACACAGATTCACCGAAGTGAAACCTTTTGCCCTGGGTCCCATTTCTCAAGGACATCGTAACTCTCACAAGCATCGAGATACGACCCTCTGCAAAACAGGGCAGTGGAATGAACTTTGCCGCCATATATCCTATACATATGAGTAAAGATATAAAAAAACAAACTGCTTATGCCAAAGCCAGTAATACAAAATATCTTAATATGTTAATCTTCAACTATCATAAATTAGGCCCTAATTATCGTAAAAAAGTCTGCCTATATTGTCCAAACCTATTCCACTGTACACACCAATACATCTAGGTCAACTCAAAACCTCTGAGTCAATTGATCATAACATAATAATTCAATGTGCTGCACTAAGTATTAACTATGATGGTAATAGTATTGAAGCTGCAATGGTCAAATACATGTCACCTCCCACCTCTGGTGCCTGTTTGATCAAATATGAACACTCTTGTTTCTGTGACAGTCCTCAGAGCACACAGTGCCAACATTCAATTCAAGGATTCCAGTAGGATCCAAGGGTTATCAAGTTTGCCTAATCAACACTTTGAACAGTATATCAGTTAGATTACTGTCAGTCTCAAGCCTGGTTTCTGTGTAGTGTTGGGACACAACACCACTGCCTGGCTTGAGACAACTTGGCCACCAGCTCCATGTCATTTCCATTAGTTTGTAATTTCACAGCATTTGTCGGTAGTGTGAAAAATGATATTTAAATGTGTGTTGAGTATAGCCCTGCATGGCACAAGTTTTCATTATCACAGTGTCATTTTCGTGTGGGAAGAAACATGAAAGTCCTTATTATTCATCTCTTTGGTGAAACCCACTAGCAATAGCATAGTGCTGACAGACCAAAGTGTATAATCAAGGTGAACATCAGAATCCAATAGATCCTGGAACAAGGAAGGGAGCTTACTCTGGGCACTGAACTTCAGAGTTTGTGAACACTTCAAATTTTGAAATATTTTGAAGCCCACCTCAACATATCTCGTTTATGATTACTAAATGGAAACCTAAACACATTGCTCAATTAGGCTAGTGATTTCTACATCAATAAACAAAATCATTTTTCTTAACAACTATCTTCCTAATGTAAAACAACAATGTCTGACGTTCAGATGTTGATGAAGCTACAATGGTCAAATACATGTCACCTCCCACCTATGATTATAACTATAAGGGAAAAAAATGATATTGTGTCTTTTATTTAAAATATATTTGACCAACAAAAACCCTAACACCATGAACTTTAATTCTAGTTTGCTGACAGAACTTGAACACATAACCTGTTAGTCCTTATACACCAGTGCATGATACCGGGACACAAGCCCTTAACAAGATGTCATATATAGAAATTATAAAGAGTAACCAAGTTAAATAGCTGAATATAAAATACCTAAATAATATTTAACAATTTCCGTTCACGCAAGAATCATTCTGAACGTGAAGAAACATGATAGAAGTACAAACAACCTTTGGTCTGTAAGATAAATGTGCTGTCAGATTCCAAATTCTACAAAACATTTGTTAAAATTAATGTTGTACACAACAAATATATAGATACTTGGATGATGATATAACTTGAAAATATATAAATGAAACATTTTAAAATCCAGATATTAAAATTATATTACTAATAACCAAGAATTCTTTCAGTACACATGGACATAAAACACCCATGAGATACCCATAGTAACTACTTCAACATATTTTCCGTTTTATTCAAACTGCTTGTAAATTATGATTTTACTATAAAAATAAATAAAAAATATTCTGAATGTTAAAAATCTTCAGCCCATTAGCAATAACGAATATCAGCTGTAAAACATACCTTAGATAGATTTTCTAGATCTACAAAGTATTCAAGCTGAAACTTGGTAAAATAAAAGACCACTGCATAAAGCAACAAGAGTTATCCCCCTTGCATTAACAACCCAGGTGCTTTTAAGTGGAAATCTGGTTTTAAAATACCCTGCAAACAGTCAATACAACAGGAATGATACCTAAAAATATAAATATACAAAGATTCTATGCAGGTTAATCCTAGAAACATTATTCTGCAGTACAATAGATGTTTGGTTCAGTTGGTTTGGTCTGTACTGCTAACAAAAGGGATTACCCATGTATGGTTTCATGAGGCTTTTAGCAAAACTTCAGCTACCTCATGGCAGGGCACACCTGAAATGTGCTTGACATTGTATCCATGTGGGAGTTGAACCCAGGCCTTGAGCCTAAGGAGCAAATGCTTCACCCACAAGGCTACCTCATCAACTCATCACAATCATCTACCCTTGACACAAGTTCTGTGAGTTTGGTGAGTGAGTGAGTTTGGTTTTATGCCGCTTTTAGCAATATTCCAGCAATATCACGGCGGGGGACACCAGAAATGAGCTTCACACATTGTACCCATGTGGGGAATCGAACCCGGGTCTTCGGCGTGACGAGCGAACGCTTTAACCATCAGGCTACCCCACCGGCCCTGTTTCATACAGAACCATTCATGTATTGAATTCAGCTTATAGCACTATTCTTTCATTACAACAGACTAACAGAGAGACCAACGAACAGATCAAAAACATGCAAATTCACTAAAGACTTTAACAATTTCAACTGGAGTGAGGTTACCACTGAACCAAACAATAACAGATACTGAAAAGCTAATAAATATTAATCTCACAATCCATAAGATGATTCTTGATGAAGAGAGTTGTTTTCATTAAAAAAACAAAACGACTACTGAAGTAAAATACACAGCTAAATGATGTGATGATGTGTAAAATTAAAATCTTACGGTTGTTTGAATCAGGGCGAATCTCCATCCATACTGTTATGACACACCTACTGATGTCTTTAAATACATACATGTTTCGACAACTTTGGTTGCCTATTTCATAGACCTACATATATATGGTAAAAATAGAAATTCTTCCATTTTACTTTTGTACATAGTAATGGCACAAGTCTTTATACAATTTACATGTTGCCCTTCAGGAAATTAGCCATGTACAACACTGAGCTGTCTCTAGATTCGCTATCACCCAGGTTAGTACAGAGGGTTTGTGACGCATGGGAAACCTGCAACTGTTTGCCGATTTGTGGCTGCCGAGTCACACCCCTTGTCCAAGGCACCCAATCACAGTTCTTCATATATACAGCACGGATTTGGTGATGTACGGAGCTTGGATGAAACAGTCTGGCAATGTCTGCGTGGAGCGCGCTTCCAAAACCACAACCAAACAGACAGGGGTAACTATTCCAGGTCGTAGACATCACTGCTTGTAGCTTCAACTGGCTTTCATTGTCAGATACAAAATCACAGCTAAAAGGCCTCCAAAGGAAATCAGTGACGAGGCCTGAAGGATGTGTTTAGCACTTTATATATACGCCACAAAGTCTTGAGTTGTCTCCCATAAAGGCACTGTGCTACCAACAAGGCACAGGAGATCGTAGCGCCGTCTACCAAGACCACACTCCCATTTACAACTCAAAGAGTCGTCTCCCCTGTTTCCATTATTTACATGTCAGTGTTCTTATTTACAATTTATTCATAAAATACCATTATAAAAAGGCTATTCCTCTATTCATAAATATTAAATACTTTTAAAAATTTGAATTTTGAAATCAAATTTCTAAAGGAAATCTAAACATAGTTACAATATATTTTTTAAAAATCCATATAAAAAAGTACCAACCTATAAAAAATAACCTACAATTCAAATGTAACTCTTCAGAGAGGAGGAACAAAAGACTGGCAACAGATGAAGATGTCACAGGTTGACAAACATCAACTTGGAGGTGAGAACAATCGATGATTGTTAGTGTCACAACATTGTGATGGCACATCAGTCTGTCCAATCACTGTGAGGATAGCTCTATCAGTCTTGTCACAACTGGTTATTGTAATTTGATGTAGAGTCCGGACTGGCCGTAGTGTTCCTGCCAAACAGTCTGTCCACTTCTCGACTGTGTTGTCTGGGACCGGGCTCAGGCGTGTATGTGAAGGTAAGTCCCGTCGCATAGATCACACCGTCGTTACGCACAAGGCATACAGGCACCTGCAGAGACAGTATGTCATTAGATATACTTACAAAAAAAAAAAAATTAAATGTTAAGTTGAAGGGGTAGAGATCCTAAAACATTGAAAACAACTTTTGTTGTGATACGAGATAAATAAAATGTCAAAAGACTTCAGTATTCAAACTAAGATCAATTGTGAAAGGAATGCGAATTATCTTTCTTAAATTTACCAAAGAATTCATACCCTTAATCATCTGCATTGTAGCTGTCTTACAATACGTCACTAACTACCTGCCTCTAATAAGATCCCTCATATGTTCAAATCATGTCAGGGTTTTAGGGTAGAATTGGTCTCAAGTAATCTATTCCTGCAACAAGCGACAACTATGATGAATTGGTTGATGAGATTCTGTGACTTGGCCAACTGTATTTATACCTGCTTATACTTGCAGCCATTGAGTTGGTCAAGACTACATTACTGTAGGCCATCATGATTCAGCCGTCTTCAGTTTAAAACTACATTCACTCCTGTTTAAGACTTACATGTAACTGTTGCCTGACCCATTTCCAGCCGGCACGGAAGGCAGAGATGTCGGGCACTACACACAGCATGCTCTCGTCACTCCTGAAAACATCAACAGCATCATCAACATCACAGTCTGCAACTCCTGCAGGAAGTCCTCAATCTCTGTCTCTTACGCTGAGCCAATTAACAATTCTACTGGAAAAAAAACAGTCTGAACTATTAGTAATACTGCGTATTAGATGCAATGTTACCTTTACATTTCGAACCACACAAGGTCAAGGTCACTAACCTGAACATGGTCTCCGCTTCAACATCTCCCGAACCACACTTTGAGAGCAGGAGTAAAGTTTTCTCCATTGAGTTCCAACATTGCAACATCCCCACCTCCATTCAGCTGAAACAGCAATGTCCACAATGTTCACAAAGGACCAAATCATCACAATGAGATCCTAAGTATAGCTGACATGAGTTATCTCCCTTCCTCAAACTGGAGAAGCCCACTTGAGTGAATGTTTGTACTCACAGTAATCAGCAAGGTTGGGATGGGGTGAAAGAGAGAGGGAGGGAAGAACAGAGCAGGGAGGCAGCAGAGTTGGCTTTAGGCTACTTTGAACAAGACAAACGGATAAATATGGCACTATTAGAATATTTCAATCAAAGCAGAAAACTGGATCCTGGTAAGCATAAAGGGCACAATTCGTCATAGCAACTGCAAGCATCTCGCAATCCAGGAGTGTACTCACATGTAGACTGTGCACAACTGGGACAGGAGTTAGAGGGTTTTTCACCGGACCCATACCCTCGAAGAAGGTGTACTCAGCCTTGTCTGTGCTGATGATTGTCCAAGATGCACCATCATTAATCATCTCCTTGTTTGGTTCTTTAGGACATGGAGTTGCCTGTAGGACAGAAACATGGCAGCATTTAGTAACATAGCACAAACACGTCACTGTCACCTTTAAAGCAAATGACCAACAAAACCACCATTGCCTTTAAAGCAAATGACCAACAAAACCACCATTGCCTTTAAAGCAAATGACCAACAAAACCACTGTAGCCTTTAAAGACCAAATGACCAACAAAACCGCCATTGCTTTTAAAACAAACAAAACCGCCATTGCTTTTAAAGCAAATGACCAACAAAACCACCATTGCTTTTAAAGCAAATGACCAACAAAACCACCATAGCATTTAAAGCAAATGACCAACAAACCCACCACAGCCTTTAAAGCAAATGACCAACGAAACAACACCCTGACTAAACCTTGATTGTACTGAGCATATCACTTATATGATCCAACTTTGTTGTAATCTAAAATATTGCTTCCAGGATGCGGCGTTTACAAGTCAATCAGAAATGGCACTTTATATTTCATTTTCTAATTTTCACAAGTGCAACCAAAAATACACTGAGCTCCTTGAATCTCACCTGGAACTGTATGATTCTTTCCTGAGACAGGCACAGGTACATCCTCTCTGTGTCCTTCAGGTAGAAAGAGCATTTGTGCAGCTGCGACACGGGGTCGTCCGCATCTAGCAGTGCTGTCTGCTTGTCCACCTTACGGATTATCTGAAGAAACAATCATTACACGACGTCACCAACACATGAAGTGCACTTCTGGGCAGTAAACTAATTACTTGCAATTTACCACCTAGCTGACTTCGCCAGATCACACACATAATATATACATATAAATGTTGTATGGCGGCTGATGTATGGAGAGTACAAAAACATGTTTTTTCGGTACCTCTCCTACAATATCTTTTATATTTTCATACAATCTATGATTTAATATCTTGTTTCTTGTTTACAATTTAATGCTGTATTCAATATTCCAGTTATCTTGTGAACACTCCACCCAAAACTACATCTAACAGTAGGTGAGCTGAAATGGGGTTTAACATCGTACATTAACAATTCTTTCAACTGTATTAACTATTCAGATATGGAAACTTTTTAAGGATGCTGCATTAACTGTGTTGGCAATAAATGTACAACAATTTCTGATGGTGAAGCAGAGCTTTGGATCATATCAGATTAACTGATTTATCACTCTTTTCATACCCAAGATGGAAATAATGTTACTTTAAGAGCAAAAATATTAGGGGTGATATTGATTTGATCTTGTAAACCCCAAGAAAAGCTGAGTTTGTTTGCTGAGGATCTTGACCAATTCCAAAACTTAAATTTAGAAGCACAAACATGTCACCGTGTGAAAATTGTATCTGACACAAGCAGCTCCCTGATGATACACTGTGGCAACTAAATCATGAATCAACTGAATGGGAACTGACCAGGCGGGGCAGCGCCATGCCCGTGACAGAGCAGACCAGTTTGACCGTGGAGCCGTAGTGGATGTAGCCGTCCCTGACGGTGAATTCTTCAGACTCATCCTCATTGTCATCCACTGAAACAATCAACAAAGGTCAAGGTAAAGAGAGGAGAAATGGTGTCTACGTTGTGTTTGAAGGTTATTGCTCTGACATAGCAACTTGTGACTCTCGGCGATATTCCAGCAAACTGAAACTGGACTGCCAATAACCCAGACTGGACCACACAACAGATGCTAATGATGTCACTAGGCCTGATCACCTGATCCATCTCTCAGCAGAATTTGCCCGGGGACCAGTCGTAACCCAGAGTGAGTGGGTTCAAATTTGACATAGCATCAGCATTATTTCATAGCAATGAGAGGAAGTTTACAGATCTACTCAAGTCCATTATAAATACAAAGTTACTTTTCAAAGCAATTTATTAAACTCACATTTTAACATAACAATATCATTTTCAACTTAATACACTGTGACACCAAATTTAAAAACCAGCAACTGGTTATACACATATATATCCCAGAAGCCCCATGATATAATCCGCGAGTTCTCTGTGGCTTACGTAAGTGTATTGTGAAGGCTCCCCACTGCGTAGAACTTGCATGGAAGTTGCCATTTTCCACATGGAGGTAGCGTGTGCTCACAGTCTGGGACCTCAGTCGGTTGAATAATGCAACTTTGGTCCCTGAAGCTATACATACTGAAATAAACAAACAACAATAAACAAATGTTTACTGAATGACATCAACATCAGCATCAACACTATTGTCTACATTTTCACACTTTGGACCAATCTGCTCTGTCAAGATATGCTGAGTTATCTCCCTTTGACCATCGCTTTGAAATAATGAACTATGATACATAATGTCTGAAGACATTTCTCATAGAGTAGCTGCTAAATAATACACAAGAGTAAAATGTGGAGTTGTAAAACAAGTTGCTTCACAAATGTTTACATGACAGACCAAGAAGAGAGTTTAAATGTCACATCGGAAATAACATAACTGTAACTGCAGCACACACATTTCAAGATAACAACTCTCTTGCAGAACAATTTCATTTCAGAATAGGTTCCCTTTATCGATGAATTAGCTGAATATTTAAACATGAACAAGTGTCTTACAAGCCAGTGTATCCAACCTTACTAGCGCTTAGCAAACTAAAGTAACATTACCAGATGTTTCTGATCAATCATACATGATATACATACGGGATCAGCTGGTTTATAGTGAGGGAGTTTATTTTTACACCTCTTTTAGCAATATTCCAACAATATCACAGCGGGGGACACCAGAAATGGGCTTCACACACTGTACCCATGTGGGGAATCCAACCCGGGTCTTCTGTGTGATGAGCGAACGCTTTAACCACTAAGCCCCCCCAACACCCAAGCTGGTTTAGAAAATAAGCAATAAGTCATATACTTTCTATAGCATCCCCATTTACCCAGTGTATCTGTTACAGTAAATATCCTGAACTCATTTGTCATCATACAATATTTGTGAAGAACTCGCTCTAAGAACACATATTTGTTGTTGGTATATAGTTCACGAACAACAGAAATACAGTGACAAGTTGGTGACAAGTTGGTGACAAGGGAGATAACACTGGTCATGGTTTGACTGACTGACTGAGTTTGGTTTTACGCCGCTTTTAGCAATGTCCCAGCAATATCACGGCGGGGGACACCAGAAATGGGCTTCACACATTGTACCCATGTGGAGATTCGAACCCGGGTCTTCGGAGTGACGAGCCAACGCTTTAACCATTAGGCTACCCCCACCGCCCCCATGGTTTGACATAGGGCTGGCTATCTATATAGATCATAGAGATCACTAATCGTTTAATAAATATCGATCGATTATCCATAAGCATCGGAGACGTAATGAGTAAAATTCCTAAAACTGTCAGAAAGAAATGTATATATATTTCACATGACTCATGATTGATGACATGTTGTTGCATGGATTACTAACTAAACAGCTTCCTCAACATAATTTAACAGCAGACCATGAATTAAGTCCTATATTTGCATATTGTGTGAGAGAATCAAAACCTTTGACTATCACAAAAGTTAACGTACAATATTATCAATAACACAATTTTCATATTGATAATCATTAATTATTTTTCATATCAACGATATTTCTAATTATTGGTCATTTTAGCAAGCCCTAGTTATACAGCTCAGGGTTTATGTGACAGACAGCAGATATAACACTAGATAATAGGGGGTAGTCCCGTAAGTTCGACCTTTGGGTCGAGGTAAAAATCCTTTGATGTTTGATGTTGTGACAATGGTGTTATTTTAAGAGATTGAGACACTGGTTTTCTACAAAATGAAAAATGGGTTCACTCAGGCAACGAAATATGACATTTGTACCAGCGGGTTTAGTGACTAATCTTAGTTCACTCAATTCATTAGTAGTGAGTTATTCAATTTCTTACATAAACTTGCAAGCTATAAGAATGAACTGACAGTTTTCATCATCATTTCCACAACTTCAGTTATGGCATATGCACAATAAGTTTCTTCCTACTTCTCGTGGTGGAAGATAGCTATGTGTAAATGGTTATATGTTCATTGTGAACAAGAGGAAAAGGGAGGAATGGATCTCGTGGAGATGCATTCAGAAAGACTGCAGATCATCAGTCTCAACAGTGAACGACATAATTTCCAATACCTGGAGACCACAACCACGGACCTATACACAATGAAGTCAAATCTTGTCGATTATCTATTAATATTTATCATTTCAATACTGACGGTCCCAGCACAAACAACAACCTCGAGGGTTGGCATGGCCCTCTCAAGAAGGTTGTGGGAAAACATCCCAACCTCTTCGAGATGGCCAAGTTCTTGGACTGAACGAGGCAAAGTTGCTTTAGTACAATGCCGGCCAAAGACTGCAAACACACACACACACACACACACACACCCCAGAAGTACAGAGATCTGGGAGAGACGACTAGACACCTTGAAGCTTAGGCTTGCAAATAACAACCTGGCATTGATGGAGTACCTGGACAATGCCAATACCTAGACTGTTATATTTTCCATTCTTTGATACACTTGTATAAGTGCTTAGTAAAATCAGATGTATCTCTGTATATGGACTGTAATACTTCCCATGCATCAATGTTCTTGTATAAGTGGCTTGTAAAGTTATTGACTTGGTATATCCTCCATGCCCTAAACCTAAGCCTTGTTGTACTTGTAGAAGTACTTTATAATTGATAACTGGATACATATGGACCATGTTGTACACAGGGCTGATGGCCGACACCACTGTACCGAACAAAGCCTCCTATTGTGTGAAGTTGTTGGGCTCCTGATTCTTGGTTCTGGTTCATCTGTGTTGCCTGCATATTGTGCTTTCACTATGTATGAATTGTATTTATCTAATTTAATTCCAAAGGAAATGGCCATTTGAAGTGCTATATATGTTTTTTTAGATTATGTATTGTATGTTATGGTCTTTCACTATATATGAATTGTATTTATCTAATTTAATTCCAAAGGGAAATGGCCATTTGAAGTGTTATAAATGTTTTTTTAGATTATGTATTGTATGTTATGTTATTTACAATTGCATATTATAGTGCTATAAACTTTATATGTATACATTATGTTTTATAAATGTGTATTATCTATTATGTTGACAACAGTAATTTCGGTCCAATGAATGCTTAGATAAAAATGACATTTTACAGTGTGATCCTTGTTCAGTTATTTTCTGGTGTACATTTTAGCATTCACCGTACCTCTGTCAAAACATTGACTGCCCATTGTCTATTGACTTTAAAGGCATACCCAAGCAAACCGACCAGTTTGTTTTTACACCCATCCAAAGGTCGGACTCAAGGGACCTAACCGATAATCGAGTGGTATAGATTGTGAGGCTTTTATTAACATTCATCATCAAAGTTAACAAAATTATCCTCAATGAATATATGAAAACTGCATAAGAAGAACCATTGGAAACAAATAAAAAGACACAACTTACAATCTGCATTTTTCAGTGACTGCTTTTTCTTTGAGGGTTTTGAGATGACCTTTATCCGTTTACTGTGGAACAGCCCAATGTCTTGCCCATTTCCATGAAACATTTTCACAGATAACATAAAGTGTTTCCTCTTATCAGAGTCTGATATATACAAGGTTTTAGCTGCACAGTAATTCTGAAAGACAAGCAGAAGAAGACAATGTATTCAAATACCATCACAACAAGGATGAGAAAACAATACACCACATTCAAGATTAACTATACCTCAGTTCATTCAATTTTCAGTACAGAATAATTCTTCTGGTATGTGTAGAAAAGTTGAAATGATACAGATCTTGGATATAAGACATCTTGGTGAGAGCCATCCTTTCCTACAGGGGTGGAAATAACTCTAAAATTGCTAGTGTACTCCGGTACAGTGGCACATGTAAACTCACTTGCCCTGATAATTTTTCCACTTTACCGGTCGTTTTTTGTTGTTGATTTTTTAAATAAACAACATAATTAACGTTGGAAAGTCAACTGGACACCGGTACAGTGTGATATACAAATTTGCTTGCCCAACAAAACAACAACAACTGGACTCGGATGTCAGGCAATGGGTTATTTCCATCCCTGTCCCCAATGGTATTACGGAATTGTTATAGTCAAGACAGTTAACCAAGAAAGCCCTTCCTGTAAGTTCCCCAACCCCAAATCCCCAGGCCTCTTGCTACACCTGCCTTAATTCTCCACGTCTCCCCTACATTAAGTCTCCCTCTCCCACTCCTTTAAGTCTCTCCCATTCTTATAGTGTCCCCTTTCTTTGAGTCTCCCATTTTCTTCCCACAGACGTTACTCAAGTCATATCTTCCTACAAACCTCTGTTCTAATACGGCTCTTTCATGGTGCGAGTGTTCAGGATTCGTGATTGGTTGTAATCAGATTTAGTTGTGCAATCAGCGACGTTGTTTCAAAAGTGATCATTCCCAAGGTCTCGGTAATTTCTGTATGCTTCGGGAAAACTAGAACCTCTTCCCCTGCGCAATGCGCAAATGTTTCCCCTAGACAGAACTCAGTCATGTAATAGTGGATCAATGGCGTCTCCATCGCGCTCGTTGACAACGGACAAGCTAGCCATTAAATGCCTTGTGTGTCACACCAACACAAGTCCCCGGCAGAGACGGGATATTTGTGGCCCCACATTTGCTTGGATTAGTCAAGCTGGATCTAAGTTGATGTAACGTGTTCTGATTGGATAGAAAGAAGGGAGATAATTGGTGTTGCAATTTTTGGCCGCTAGGGGATTTTATGAGAACCGGTAAATATGGCCATATTAGAACAGAGGTTTGTAGGAAGATATGACAAGTAACCTCTGTGGGAAGAGAATGCCCCTTTCCATAAGTCACCCCTTTTGACAAGACTCCCCTTTCCTGAATGTCCCCTCACCTTGCCCTCGAGGTTGAGTTGTACCATCTCCTGGTCGGAGTTACCGATGCCCATGAAGGCACACACTTGTGTGTCCTGTTCCGATGCCCCATCTTCCTCCATCTGCTGTTTCTTCCTCTTCCACCCATTGCCAAACAAATATATACATGGGGGTGGGCAGAAAAACCTGCACAAAACAAACATAGCGTCACTCAACAGCCAATACTTTATGAATTGATAACACCTACATAGAGGTCAACACAAAGTATTTAATCCATGAATCAATGGTTGATCCTGAATGCAAAATCTATGTATTTTGGCATATTTTATGAAACTATTACTATAATAAATGGCTAGCATGACAGGAAATGGGCTTGAATTTCTAAATCAGTGTTTGTTTTGGTTTGTATGTTTGCTGTTTAATACCACAGGCAGGTATAGCCCAGCTATATGGAGGTGCTCTGTAAATAATCAATTCTGGACCAGATAATCCAGTGATCAAAAGCATGAGCATCATTTAACGCAACTGGGATACGATGACATTTGTCAACCAGGTCCGACAATCCAGTGATCAAAAGCATGAGCATCAATCTACATAACTGGGATATGGTGACATGTGTCAACCAAGTCAGCTAGCCACCCATCCCATTAGTCGCCTCTGTCAACAAGAATGGGTTGCTTGAGATCAATTCCAACCCGGATCTTCATGGGTTATAAATCACTATGTCAAGTAATCCATTATCACAAGAGGTACATTTACATGGACAAAGTTGGTTATCTCTCCTGTGGGTCTGCTTGAAGGGCATGATGACATTTTAACCTGGGATTAAACACAAGATGAGAACTTTTCCAAAACTTCTACCCCAAAACACCCCAGCATATATTGTATTAGACAATGGAAAATATTTCCATGTCGTACAGAGAATTACCCATCAGCATCAGTGAAATTATAGATAAGAAAGTCCAGAAAGAAATTATATCTAATGAGTGAGTGAGTATAGTTTTACGTCACTTTTAGCAATATTCCTGTAATATCACATTGGAGACATCCCAAATGGGCTTCACACATTGTTCCGATGTGGGGAATCGAACCCAGGTCTTCAGCGTGATGAGCTGATGCTTTAACCATTAGGCTACCCCACCGCCCAAAATGACATCTAAAATATTAAACATGGCAACAAACCTCAAAGTGCAACATGTTGCTTGTCAACTTTGGTCTTGATTTTTTAGTGATTATAACCAACATGCCACATATTTCAAGTGCAGCAATATCATAGCATCAGTCTTATAGCATAAGAAACTGTAACTGTAAATACATCCCATAACCAACCAATTAATAGAAAGTTTGTCTAAATATTTACCTTTTTTCATTTCCGTATGATTTCTGCGCCACTTTGGCATGTAATATCACAAGGATCTGATCTCCACGATATCTCGTAAGTACTTCCTCATGTTCTCCCTGAAAGAAAACACCAACATCATATTAACATCACGTCTATAGTACAAAAGTCGTCATTGAAAACACCAACATCATATTAACATCACGTCTATAGTACAGAGGTCGTCATTGAAAACACCCAACATCATATTAACATCACGTCTATAGTACAGAGGTCGTCATTGAAAATTCCAACATCATATTAACATCACGTCTATAGTACAGAGGTCGTCCTTGAAAATTCCAACATCATATTAACATCACGTCTATAGTACAAAGGTCGTCATTGAATGAGTGAGTGAGTATGGTTTTACGCCACTAATAGTATTATTTCAGCAATATCACGGCTTGGGACACCAGAAATGGGCTTCACACATTGTACAAAGGTCCTCATTGAAAACACCAACATCATATTAACATCGCATCTATAGTACAGAGGTCGTCATTGAAAACACCAACATCATATTAACATCGCATCTATAGTACAAAGGTCGTCATTGAAAACACCAACATCATATTAACATCGCCTCATTGAAAACACCAACATCATATTAACATCACGTCTCTAGTACAAAGGTCGTCATTGAAAACACCAACATCATATTAACATCACGTCTATAGTACAAAGGTCGTCATTGAAAACACCAACATCATATTAACATCACATCTCTAGTACAAAGGTCGTCATTGACATCCTATTTTCAGGGTCCTGTGATTTGGGGTTTTTTTAACGTCACAAACAGTATTAGTCCATCAGTCTGTAGATGGACAAGACAATCCAGTGACTGACATCATGAGCATCAGTTCCCCCAACTAGGATAGAACGCAGTCAACAATCCCCCGAGCCTTACCATATATTCCAGCTATCTCTTGCAACCACCAAATAATACTTGCTAACCCCTCTTACCTAAAATTTACCCACAAGATTGTGATTTCTGGTCCTCCAAGTTCATGAATGGTCATAATACAAACAAACAATAGTGTACATGTACCAGAAAAAATTGTATAAATTAAAATATGGAATATTATCAATCATAGTTGATGAACTTCAACCACCAAGACATCATACCAAACGTGTTAGACAACGATGTGAAACTGTGAAATTCACAATTAAAGTCAAGTTGTCTTTGTCTCAGACATAACTGAAAAAGTAAGAGATGTTGGGGTTCCTAGATTCAAGTAATACATCATCAATCCTGAATGACCCAAGCAAACCACACCTGCCCACCCCACTATCCCCACACACCTGCCCCTACCCACTCCCCGATCCCCACCCACCCCTTCACGATATCTAACACTGTCCAAACACCATAGCAGAAGGTGTGAAAGTTGAATGTGTCAGTTGTAGGGAAAGATGCATAGAGCATTGTCTTCTCTACAGCTGTTACACAGGTTAGTACTGAGTGAAAAACACTTGGTCTGCGATCAACTACCAGAATTACATGCTGTCTTCATTTTGGAAACAGGACGGTGGGTAGGTGAGAGAACAAGATGATTCTACATCTCTTGTAGTAGTTTTCGAGTAATATCACCACAGGGGATTGGAAAAATGGGCTTTACAGTATTTCACACTGCACCCAGCTGAGAAACCAAACCCAGACCGTTGGTGTCATGAAGGAACGCTTTACCTACTAGGCTACTCCACAGCCCTGTGTAGGAGAACTATGGCTTGTACTAGCATCACTACAATCCTTAGCCTTTCTAAACACATGAATGAATATTGTTTTATGACACAACTCTTTTCAGATACACGTCTGCTTCATGGATTTATGAAAGATTCAAATTATGAGAAAAACATGACACTGTTAAAATCTCAGGATTTTTCTGCTTCCCGTTCCCTCCACTGGTCTGACATCAGAGAAATACAAATCCACTCAGCAAAGCCATTACATAAGTTACAACTATAAAAAAAGTATATCTGCGAAGTTCGTAATTACATATCAGAGATGTCTGCAGCCATATACTGGATTAAAAATTCCCCCTCAACATGATGAGTGAGTTATTTGCGTTCATATTTAAGTCACATCTGACACATCTCAGCCAAGAGTCACAAAGGTTATAAATAGGTGTCAATAGTAAAACGCAAGTATCGTGCCTTCATCACGATAATGTCCAACATTAGAAACACTGTAACAGTGCTACTAGATATAAATATACAGAGAGCCTGCTAACATTGGCCTATTAGCCTTATATCCCTGAGAACTTGACAGCTACTTTGCTACTCAGAGATAAGAGACTGGTCCAGTTCACACTGGGAATTACAAAGTAGGAACAGAAACACTTACTTTGTTAATTTCATGTCTTGAAGAGCACTGAAAGAAGAGAGAACATATTATCATTATAAAAGTAAAATTGGTGACTTAATCAATTTTGTGTAAGTATATGATCCTAAATAATTATAATATTTCAGCACCATTAATACTGCTACATTAATGAGCCCTTTTCAGTGAGTATGTTAAAGTCATTCTATATATCAGGATTATCACATACACGGCCATGTACACATTACCAACAACAGGGAATAGAACCCAGGTTTTTGGCATGACAAGCTAGTGCTGCAACCACTCAGCTAATCCACTGCTTTGGCCTCAAGACGAGTGAGTGAGTGAGTGAGTGAGTTTTAACACCGCTCTGAACATTATTCCAGTTACATCATGGTGTGTCAGCTCCATGAGGAAGAAAGCCCCAAGCGATGCAGGACTTCCGATATTTACCACGGGCACAGCTTCGGCGCTCACAAACCTCAAACCATAATCAGGATGAGCTTGTATTTGAACACATCAGTACAGGTTTCTGGCCTGCATTGGGATGCACCTCATCCCAGCCAATAGCTGCGCTTCATTCAACTCATACATACAATGCCATTTCTAAAACAGAGCCAACAGAAGGAATGCCCTGTTGAACTCACACAGGAAATCAAACATTTTTAAAATATTACTACTCAACAAATAATACTGGAAAGAGAAAAATCTATGCCAGTCCACAACAAAAATTAAAAAATAGACTATATACAATTGTAACAAAAGGATTAATTATTTTCGTTTTCAGTTGTTAACCAGCATGCATGTGCTTCAGAGAAGAAGTTGGTAAACACACGATGTATCACAGATTTCAGATGGACATAATGTCATACACGTTTGTCATGTGATACACCTGTGATTGTGACGCGGGGTGTCGTGACACCCTTGAGTGATAAACTGGACATGATGTACACAAAGCAGTTGGGCATGATGACTCAGTTTGATCACGGCTTGGATAACTCCAAAAACAACATTCTCCTTTGCATCAAATGATTTTCAGAAAAAGTAATTGTGAACAGGAGATAGACACAAAACCCAGACCGGCCCACAAATATCAAAACTAAACCAAGTTGGACAGCTAACTTTCGATGCTCAACTGGAGAAACAGATGATATTGTTCATGGGAACAGCTGACTGAAATAAATCATTAATTCTTGAAGCCTATTTGAGGTTGTTGAGAACTGAAAATTTGTTGAAAAGAGTCCCATGACTGAGGATTTACCTTATTTCATTTCAACAATTGTGGTAACCATGGTTACATCTGATGAGACCCCACACCAACAACATATCATATCTCTTTTCAACTTTACCAAATCTATCGCCAAAAAGATAGTTAACCCCAGATGCCTCTCTATTTGAAACTGCCCTCATATATGATCAACACAAATTACAAAACCATATTAATTTAGGGTGGTGTAAAGGAGAAATCAACACAACATGATAAATAATAGGCTTATATTTTCACCATATCGAGTATGAATGGGTAAGCCGCATTTAACAATATTCCAGAAATATCATGGCGGGGGACACCAGAAATGGGCTTCACACGTTATGTCCATGTGTGGAATCGAACCCAGGTCTTCGGCATGAAGAGTGAATGCCTTAAGCACTAGGGTACCCCACTGTCCCATATTGAGTGAGTGAGTGAGTGAGTGAGTGAGTGAGTGAGTGAGTGAGTGAGTGAGTGAGTGAGTGAGTGAGTGAGTGAGTGAGTGAGTGAGTGAGTGAGTGAGTGAGTGAGTGAGTGAGTGAGTGAGTGAGTGAGTGAGTGAGTGAGGTGAGTGAGTGAGTGAGTGAGTGAGTGAGTGAGTGAGTGAGTGAGTGAGTGAGTGAGTGAGTGAGTGAGTGAGTGAGTGAGTGAGTGAGTGAGTGAGTGAGTGAGTGAGTGAGTGAGTGAGTGAGTGAGTGAGTGAGTGAGTGAGTGAGTGAGTGAGTGAGTGAGTGAGTGAGTGAGTGAGTGAGTGTTTGGTTTTACGCAGCTTTAAGCAATATTCCAGCAATATCACGGCGGGGGACACCAGAAATGGGCTTCACACATTATGTCCATGTGTGGAATCGAACCCAGGTCTTCGGCATAAAGAGTGAATGCCTTAAGCACTAGGGTACCCCACTGCCCCATATCGTATTTGAATCAAGGTATTATTTCTGACAAGCAAACACACAACCTCCTGCCCCATCCTACAGAAACCTGAACAAACACAAGTCTTACCTTGGAGGTGAGGGGTTGTTGTAAGCTCCTGTGTGTCTGGGATCCACGTCGCCATGGTGCCGCATCATGGGGGGTGAGGGTGTGGGTAGTGGGCTGGGTGGGGCCTGCATGGGATGGGTGAGGGGCACAAGCCCCATGGGGCTTGGGTTGTGGAGGGGCATCAAGTCACCATTGATCTTGTCTGGTGGGGTCAGGGAGCCTGTCATTAGATGATGGCTTCCATCTGAAAGAAAGACCATCAACATAAGATTTACACAAATTCATAGGCTAGAAGGGGCGGCACAACTTAGGAATGTTAGAAACCACGATTGTTGGTTAGAGTCTCAGTCTGACCTGATCATACTTGTAGGGTTGGCGGTTACCATGTTGATGTGGTACATGCCTTTCTCTGTAGTCGGTTTGGTTTTAATTTGCTCTAAATTAAAGATTATTTCTTCCCGAAAATTAACCCTTGTAAGTTATGGAGCATCATGTTTACAAATTGAATCATGCAAAAATGTTCACATATTGACAGATCATGTAATACTCAAACTCCAAAGTCATAGATGATATCATTACATTCATGGCATAATTACATGTCTAAAGCATTATTGAAACCAGTCATCAAGAATTGGTTTCAATTCCAATACTCTTCAAGGAAAAAATATTCTTTAGAAACGGAACTACTGCAAACTTCTTAGCGGTATTTAAATAAATGTCAACAACCAGGAAAACATTTCACCAAACCTGAACTAGGAATAAAGTCCCATGAGGAAAAAGCTGATTGACTGAGTCCATTCCAATCCATTTCACCAAATTTCAAGAAAAAGTTATGTATCAAACTCAATCATTATTCCACTGAACTCCCAAATGCTCACCACAAGAAAATCGGACCAAATGATGAGCTTATTAAATGCACTGCTTCATATAAATACAATTGATCATGTCTGTATTGTTGACGAAAAAATTCTACACTGGTCAATTATCTTTCTACCTGGTTTAAATTCTTCAGCGAACACAACTACAAAGAAAACCTCTGATAAGATCAGCACGATCATTGCATTCCAGGCTCAAAGCAATTAGGCCTAGTGAGAAAATGCACATCTGAAACTTATAATCAATCGGCAGATTCACATCACCCAAAATAAATGTATATAAACACACAACAGTGGACACTTTCTCAGAGCAAAATAGTTATTGGACAAAAGCAGGAGTTGAACAACCACACACGCTTCAAGTTCCCACACTATCTTCGATTCTGCACACAAATCTCAACGAAACTACGACAAAAAGACATTGATAGAAAGGGAGAGACAGCTCAACGTTGAAGAGCCATATGGAGACATTGCCGACGACAACAAACTGACAACTCCACAGCTGCCCTCTCCGTTGTCCGTCTCGAACAAAAATTTTACCTTCAAGAACATAGTGCTGGAAATCCTCGTAAGGGAACTCGGACGATGTGGACATCATTTTGACGTTCACTTTACGCCAGTTGTGACACCCTATGCAAACCAGGAGCAAAAATATCTTGTCGATATTTTGTACGGATTTCGATTTTTCGAATGACTAAGTTATCTGCAAAGGGCCAGCACAGAGCTGTGGGTTTATCAGGTATTGACATTTCTTGTGCATCTGGTAGCGGGGCAAATTTTCCCACACCTCTTAGGGCTTCTCCTTGGATACTGTCGTCTAATGCCTGCCATTTACGACAATCTTGGCCTCGTCTACAACCATGCCATATATTGTGGCTGAGTAAAATTAATTGTCATAATTAAAATCATACAATGGATGGCTGCTTTTAAATTGTCTCCTTCAGGATGGAAAAAGGAACTCCCTCTCAGAATTTTCTCGTATGCCTTGCTTCCTGATTGATCCTGTTATGGTTTATTTATGAGTCCTGCAAGTGGCAGTAATTATAGTTAATCAATAGTTCGTGTTGTTTAGTCACAATTAATACTTGCAAGCAGAGCCTTTGAAATTCTAACGATTAGCCGGTTCACTAGTGGAGAATAGCAAATTTACACTGCATCCAATGGCAGTAATCTCTTCCTGTGCAATGGAGATGTCATCCGCTTGGCGGAAACATAAACTGTCAAAAAAATTATCAATGACTAGAAATTGCCTGTGATAACACTGAAAGACACCGCAGAAAAACACGCATGTGAATTTGAGCGGGCAGAGTTAAAAACATTCAATTAGAGTTTGATCAATAGAACTTTGTTGTGTGGAGATAGTGTTGCCATTTGTGGGTTATTTCATGTCAATATAATCTTAATCATTATTAATGTGATAAATTAAGTTTTACGTTGTTATGATCATTACCAGTATTTTTAACCTGGTAAACATATTATTAAGATCACACACAAATATGAGCTCAAATTATGTCAAAATTAAAATAGTGACATATAAAAATACCCAAAACTAATCCTCAAAATACTGAAAGGAAACTGACTAAAGATGGTACATGAAAGAAAAGCAATTGAATCTTTCTTCAGCCACTTTTGAGGGGTTGGGCGTGGGATGATTGGGAGCTACAGACTTTGATAGCAACGTATTTGGTCAATGTAAAAAAAATATCATTGCACATTATTTCTTTAATAGTCTTAGTGTTTGATTGGGATTTGTCAGCTGTGAGCTTGGGAGCTGAGAATGAAAATCGACGCTGATCCATTCATGAGGGTACTAAAGTATCAGTTTAAACATGCATTAGGGAGTGGATCTGGCACATTATTTTAATATTCATTCTTGCCATGATTCCATGGTTATTGGACATGGCACTATTTTCATTTCTCCAGTATATACAACTGCCACACATAAGCACAATGTCAAGTGCTGAGGTTCTGATATCTAGAATCTCCCCGGACTTCCTTTGCTAGGTAACCACCAATAATGACCTTTGGACAAATTGATAAGAACAGACCAAATGGATCCTGACCGTGGACCAATGATTACATGACATCTACCCGACAGCACAGAGAACAAACGTTGTAGCTTTTATTACCGACATGTCAATACGTTTCACCACCCTGCTCGCGAGGAGATTGAGAACTTTCTCCTGATCTCATCACCAGGGTTTTAAAGACACAAGCCCGTGAAGATCCGGGGGTAGAATTGGTCTTCAGCAACCAACGCTTGCCACAAAATGCGACTATGCTTGTCGTAAGAGGCGACTAACGGGATCGGGTGGTCAGGCTCGCTGACTTGGTTGACACATGTCATCGGTGCCCAATTGCGCAGATCGATGCTCATGCTGTTGGTCACTGGATTATCTGGTCCAGACTCGATTATTTACAGACTGCCGCCATATAGCTGGAATATTGCTGAGTGCGGCATAAAACTAAACTCACTCACTCACTTTAAAGACACAAAATCTTGCATCAAAGACACTTTTAAACAGATATAGCCACAACAACTTACACTGAAGTCATGTTGGACCAAATTATTAATCATGAAATGTTCATGATCACTTAACTTGTATCTATCATTATTACTTACTGTTCGCAAAACAAATGGACTGGTTAAGGTTGCAAGGATTCATTATTCCCAGAAATGGAGAAATACATTTGAGCTGACGTGTCAAATCTCACGGATGATACAGTGAAACAGGCAGTGCAGCTTAGACTTGCAAATGACGATGTCAAAGTTGTCATTTTTGAAACCCTTGTTTTATAAACTTCCAGACCTATTTCATAATAATGATTCCACACTCCTGGCCTGTGTGACTCCACATTCCACAGCCTGTTGACGTCAGCAAGGAGTAGTTGATTCACTTCTTCTATATTCTGCATGCATCATCATGACACTTGAGAAACCACACCACTACTGCTTACAATAGATTGAAAACATTACTTTTTTACATCAATCTTATGAAAAGGATTTACTTGGTCTATTTTCTGTCTAGTTGTGCACATTGGGAGTGCCTAACTAGCATATCACATGACTGATCCGGGTAAAAACCTAGCTGATTTGTAACTGTTCAGGGTAACTACCAAGCAACGATTGGACTTACTGAGAGTGCCTACCTACATACCATGTGGAGTGCCTATCTAGCATTTCTTGTGGAGTGCCTTCTTAGCATTCCAAGTCGAGTGCCTGCCTAGCATACCATGTGGAGTTCTTACCTAGCATACCATGTGGAGTTCCTACCTAGCATACCATGTGGTGTGCCTACCTAGCATACCATGTGGAGTTCCTACCTAGCATACCATGTGACTGACAGGAAGTACCTACCTAGCATACCATGTGACTGATCGGGGATTCCGACCGTCACCGATGATGTAACGCCATTGTGAGTGTTGTAGGGAGCGTGCCCTCCAAGACGCTGGTCCCCATACAACTGCTCCTCCTTAATATAACCATTGAGGGGCGTCACTTTCCCATTGGATAAATCTACTGGATTGTCTATGTTTCTTTGCGCCATGTGGCCATTAAAGCGGCGTTGATTAGTGTTCACACAAGACACCAGAGGGTGCTGGGGTGTGACCATGTAACCAGCATTCTGCTGCGATGTGCTGAAGGCCTGGGCGCCCCGAACGGCATACTGGACTCCATTCTGTGTGAGAACTTGCTCTTCGAGGTTCAGGCCATACACGCCCTGAAACAAAAAATGTCCACTTTTAAAGCAACACCATACCATACATAATATTCAAATATTCATTTAAATTCAAGTCTGGGTCATACAACCAGTGGTCGACAGCATGAGCAAAGAACTAGGGTATGGGTCTAGTACCTGGTTAAAACCACCTGATCTCGTTAAACAGGCTCTCAGGATCAACAACGAGCAAACATATCACAGTCAGGGGGGCGGCATTAGAAGTGACGCACATAAAGGCGAGAATTGATGGACATCATCTTCTATATTTGGGGAAGACAAGGTGTTGGAGTATATTCTTACTCCATCACCTGATGAAGAAGTTGACATCCATAAATTCTCGTCTTCACAGTCAGTGGCCTTAATATTGTATATTTAATTTCAAGTTCCATCTAGGAAATTGCAAAGTGATGCATTTGCAGGTTTTAAAAGTTGACCACTTTTCCATTGGTAAGACCCATGACAATGTGTACACTATGATAAGCCCAGACACAATCAGTTGTATCTTGGATTTAAACTCAACATCATTGATTTCTCTCCACAGGTTAGCATCTCTCTTCAGCACTCATGGTGCCCCAACACATATACTTGTTTGGTTTACACCGCACGCAGCAATATTACGATACGTATTGCGATATCTTGGAACGATACGATTCGATTTGATGCATATCACGATATGCTTTCTTTAGTTATTTTCTTTAAAAAATCATATTTTAATAGCAAGACATTTTGACATAACCTTCAATATCTAATGAAAATTAACAATTTTAAGGTCAAAGATACATATCACGATACGAAAAAATGTATAGATATATTTATCGTCAGATAAAGTATCACGATTATCGATACTACGACAATCGTCTCAGCTCTAATTTCTACATTGAATGAGTCTTGACCAGAGTCTTAGACAGACATTACAGTGATTGACATCACACACACAGACACATACGTGGAAAAACCCACACGAACATTGTACCATACTTACAAAATAGTAAGTTTACATTTGTTCGACAGTCGCTTTTTGTACCCAATATGCTTTTATAGCCCTTTGTGCTCCATCTCTTTGCACAAGTTACAACATTCATTCTGCACCATGGCTGCCATTAATAATGTAGCCTGCAGATGATTTATCTAAATTTCAACTTCAACATACGAAAGAAAAGTCTTAAAAACATTTATCAGTTGATGGATGATACTTTCTTATCATATTCATGTTATTATTCATTCATATACCCGGTACCCATTTCTTTTCACAATGTCAAAATTTGACAAAATATTGCTTTTTTGTACTACAACATCAGTAAAACATACTTCATTTATGACCTCAGAGTCTTATCTACTTCAGTGGCCTCACCTTTTATAAAACAAACATTGGAATTATTCAACTCTACTGGCATTAATCACAAGTTTATCCAAATAGAAACATGATTTTATTCCATTACAGAAGGTGAACCTCATTGAACAAGGTCATAAATGTATTAAAAGTAGTTGGTATATAAAAATTCAAACAAACATACCGGTATTGTTAACTAAAGAACTTGTGTGATACTGTGGCAAAACACTAAACCAGCAAAACACTTCCTGTTCATCACCTTAAAGCAAAATCACATTTTAGATAACTTGGTCTTGAGTGATTAAAAGTTGTCTTACAGAGTAGTCAAGGTTCCAGCGTTATCATGTTTGAGTTTGGACCCGGTAGACCAGTGGTTGATATAATGACCAACCACCCTGGTATTTCTGCCATGGCAACAAATGCTTCATCAAGGAAACATGATCTCCATTCACCCTTTCAATATTCATGGGGTATTCTCGAGTTCTAAAAACACATTTACATATTTGATCCTTCCTTCTTTTGATCATGATTATGATTATTGGTAGTCATCTTAGAAAAGAGACACTATGATGTTCACTTTCTTCTTGACTATGGTTTTATGCTGCTTTTAGCAATATTCCAGGAATATCGTGGTAGGGTACACCAAAAATACGCTTCACATGTGGGGAATCAAACCCAGGTCTTCAGGTGGGGTAGCCTTGTGGTTAAAGCATTCGCTCATGACGTCTAAGACCCAGGTTCGATTCCCAACACAGGTACAATGTGTGCAGCCCATTTCTGGTGTCCCACATCGTGATATTGCTGGAATATTGCTAAAAAGTGGCATAAAACTAAAACTCACTCACTCTTCAGCACAAAGAGTGAACACTTTAACTACTAGCTTCAATCCAGCCCTACACACACACAAAAGTGGACTATTCCATATCCTGTACATATGTTTGCTCTGTATGCCTATCATGTCACATCTAGTGGTAAATAACTGCTGGTACGTTTGTCTGTCTCACACATAATGACCAAATATCATTGTCCCTTCCACCTAGCCTCACTGTAACAACCCGTGAAGATCCGGGTTAGAATTGATCTTCAGTAAGAGGAGTAACCCATGCCTGCTGTATGAGGCGACTAATGGGATCGGGTGGTCAGGCTCACTGACTTGGTTGACAATATCATTATATCCTAATTGTATAGATTGATGCTCATGCTGTTGATCACTGGATTGTCTGGTCCAGACTCAATTATTTACAGACCGCCGTCATATAGCTGGAATATTGCTGAGTGGGGGTATAAAACAACAAAACAAACCACTGCAACACAAACGCCATAAATGAAGTTAATCCAGATCTGAATCTCTAATCTCTGGGACTAAAATTTAACTTGCTGCACGTCTAGTTTGTACAAATTGTATCATCTCCATCATGGAGGTCTTTTTTGTAATTGCGCACATTACTGTATTAATGACCTTATCTGAAACATTAAGCTGAAATTATCACAGCCTTTGGCATAACAGGCTGCATACCAATGAATTCATTTTCACTTGTATAAATTTTTTATATTAAAGTCAAATATTTAGAATTCTTGATCACAGTATTCCCAGATTCAGTGGGTAACCTGAGGAAATGACATCAATATTTCATGATGAGCTTCATAAAAATTGATGTGAATGGAATGACTGAGTATGGTTTTACGCCGCTTTTAGCAATATTCCAGCAATATCACGGCAGGGGACACCAGAAATGGGCTTCACAAATTGTACCCATGAGGGGAATCGAACCCAGGCCTTCGGCATGACGAGCGAACGCTTTAACCACTAGGCTACCCATCCGCCACGACTGGGTAATAACAAATATTAGGAGTGGTAGCAAGTTTGGACAGTAACAGTCTGTACATTCTGTGCATAATAAGGTAAAGCGTCCAGCTGGCATGTATAGGATGATTGACAAATGCCTGTGTTTATGTCACACCTGTGTTAAAATCCATCCAACAGATGGGAGCAGATCAATCACAAGAACAAAATAGCTTTTCACATGCTGTTATACCAAGAATATTGCTGATTGGCACAAAACAATATTCAGTCATGCTAAGACAAAAATATGCAAATAATCTATAAAAATTTAGTATGTTGAATAAGTTGCTCGATTATTGCCTCCCTCAGCACTATTCCAGATTTATGACGGTTGAGGGTGTATAATCGTTTGGACCAGATAATCACATTGTGAAAGGGGGATGAGGCTAATTTTACAGAGCTACAGTGTTGTAAATCTTGGTGTAGGAGTGAAATGTGAGTGGACAGTTACAATACGTCAACAAGTGAAATGTCCCTTTGAAATCAGTGTTGCTAATCACACATCCCACATTTCCTACTTCAACTAGAATAGGATGCCTTATCACCTACTGCGATGTTCACTGTACAGTTATACGGGTCATACAGAGACCATCCTAGTTTCACAAGACTTCCACATCTTATTGCAGGGCTCCAGATAACTTTTGGGGGTGCGAGTGTACTTACACATCATATTACAAGTGGAGGTGTACTGAGAATTTTGAAGGAGTACTGACATGTTTTTGTGTGAGCGAGTTGGTGATGTGGTTTGTCTGGACGATTCATCGATCACTATTTCCAACCATGTATTTGTATTTGAAGACGCGCGAGAAATAACTGAGCGACCATGTGATGCGCGAAATGTCAGGTCCGACTGGATATAAATAGGAACAGTGTAGTTTTTAGCCAATCGAAAAATAGTGACGCATATCGTTGCATGGCAACGCAAGTGATTCCTACTGTCGGGGTTTCCTCATGTGTCAAATCGTGTTTCGCAAAAGAAACTTGACAAGTATTTATCCGAAAAAGATTTCCATTTGCACGATACGCACGGAAATTAAATGTTAGACGTACAAATGTATTTATGTGCATACACGATACACTTGAAATCTTATATTATGTCGTACTTCATTGATTTTGAGGCGTACATTACGCCTGTACGCCCCTTATCTGTAGCCCTGTTATTGTAAGCATTACTATATGCTATATGTTATCTGCTGTCAACAAGAGGAATAGAGTTGTGAAAGTTGCAGGGAAAATAGCCTCTTGTGATTTTGGAATTTTAGAAACTCTATACAGTTCAACTGTTTCGTATCTTGCCTCAAGAATTTTGAAATACCCATCTCATGTTTTAACTCTTGTTATAAGCTTTCACCCTCTGGTTGTAGTTGTCTTATCCTCAATGTTAAATCTGAGACCGAAGAACAATCTTTTATTCCTGAAGATCTTTTTTAAACCATTGATCTTAAATATTCAGTTATCTCTTGTGCTTGGCTCGTAGTTATTATCATAGCTTTTATGCTTAAAGGTCACATGCAACGTAAAACACAACTTTGCAGATTCTGATACCTTTCGGTATGGACTTACCGAAACAAATCGTCAAAAATGCAAATTCAACTTATAAAGTTGAAAAATAACGCGATGAAAAAAAACGCGCGAAATCGGAGTTCAAACGTTTCACTAATTTTCCCCCCGACTTTTCGGGGGGAAAATGGGTTTCAACAGCTGGGCTGCGCTCATAGCATGTGCGCAGTGAAATAGGTTCGCGCAGCTTGGAAGCTGGTTGTCGGTGAATACCGGTGAAGGCTTTGGTGTGAGCTATTTTTCTAATGTTTTGTTGATATCTCACAA